ATAAAGAACCTTTGTTTTTAAGAGCTCCAGAATTTTTTTTTTCTTGGTTCTTCAAATCATCGTTTAGGGTTTGGTTAGAGGGCGATGACATAATTCTTGCAAAATATTTCCAGTGTTGAATTACCATGCAGTGAGGACTTGCTGATCTCTTGGACGCCATAATAAATGGCTGCTTTTTGGAAAATTACAACCCCCTCCTAGTAGTCAAGTTAAATCTGATTCATGCCTTTTTAGCATTCCTTAAGAATGGGCTAACTGTGAAGATAGCCACTGCAGGTGTCTCTTCCAAAGCCTTCACACCTTGACAATGGCTAACAACGGGGTGTGGACAAGCACAATGGCTTCCTTTAACGTACTGCTGCAAAGCTGCTGCTTTCAAAGACCTTTGCCCTGGAACGATGTAAAAGGGGAGTTGTGTCTGTGAGCATTCAGGGATCTAAGGTCTCTGAATTGTTTACTGTGTGAGATTTGCATTGCAACTTTTATGATGGGTTTTTATTTGGCCCCATACACACAATGTGGGAAATGTGTGTAAATCAAAGTAAAGCCCTGGGTGTAACGCCGCCAAGCATGGGGGCCCCTGTCACTGTGGATACAGAAGTTATTAAGCTCTGTTTATTACAGTTGGGCCACTGGGTCGATTTATAATGCAATTTCTTGGGTGGGTGAGGCAGCTGGCACATTTCTTCCCAGCTCTTGACTTTCAGAGTTTCTTGACTTCTTGTTTCATTAGTGCTTTCATTGTGCTTTGCAATTTGACTGCTGAGACACAAAAACATTACGCTTCTGCCAACGTGAGAGATTTAGCCTAATTAAACCATTAAATACTCCAGATAGAATAAAAATTCATAGGAAAAGTAAGATGGCAAATCATCCAAGCATTTGGCCAAGGTCAAAGATGCTGGAACCGTGAACTTCTGGGCCACTGGCCTTTCTAGAGGGTTTTCCACCCAGACTGCTGTGATAATCTGATTATGAGAGCTGTCGAAGTTTGAAAGAAGGATATTTTTCCTCAAAATAGCTGTTTGTTAGTTGACCCAGTTTGTATTACAAGTTGAACCAGACATTGGGTTCCAGCTCTACATTTTGATTGGTCATGACCTACACTCTTAAACATAAAGGTGCTTCACGATGCCATAGAAGAACCTTTTGGTCTAAATGGTTCCATAAAGAACTTTTAACATCTGAAGAACCTTTCAGTTTCACAAAAGGTTCTTTGTGGCGAAAGAAGGTTCTTCAGATTATAAAAAGGTAAGAAAGAAATGGTTCTTTAAAGAACCTTTGACTGAATGGTTCTTTCTGGAACCAAAAATGGTTCTTCTATGGCATCGCTTGAAGAACCTTTTGAAGCACCTTTATTTTTAAAAGTGTATGCACCATTGAGACAATGGGTTTATGAACGGGGCATGTAATGTCCCTAGGGAGAGGAGTAGACCATACAGACTGATACTTTGCAAAACAAAACAAATGCATCCATTACTAGGCTAATGATTTGTGTTAATGAGGATTAGCTTACAAAAATTTGCATGATAACCACAGTTTGCACATACATACTATAGTAACTAGATATGATTATTACAGCACAGCCACACTGTACAAATGTTTTAATCAAATTGGTATTCTTCCTCAGAATAATTCAATTCAAAGTGGTTAAGGAGGTGCAGTTAACTTTTGAACCATTTAGACTTTAATTTTACTCTATTACTCTATATTAAATTACACCAAGATTCTGAAAGCTTCTCACAGCGAACGTATTATATTTTGCATTGTATTTTGGTGGACACTGGTAATTTTTTTTAAGAGTAAGACAGACATGGTATATAAATGATAGACATTGAATATAAATGTAGATTTCTTTATAGTAACATTGCATCATTGTATATAGCTAAATTATTTTAATATTAATAGTTTTATATGCCAAATAGCGCTATGTATAGTGTTATGTAACTTTGAGCAATCTGACTGATAGTTTTGATGCATCACTTATAGTTAGTAATCAGAAAGAGAAAGACAGAGGGAGACCACCTGGTATTCAAACTATGGGGCTATACGAACACTACACTCATAGAAAGATTTGAATTGAAATATTACGCAGTATGACCAAGCCATAGCTATAACCAAGAGTAATGATACATTATACATTTTACCTTTTTAGCTCCACGCACGGCGAACTCCTTTGCCAGGTGACGGCCGATGCCCCGTCCGCCACCCGTGATAAGCACCACATCTCCGGTCAGATCTCTCCGCCTGCTCGGTAAGAACCAGCACACGGTCGCCTTGACAATATAGTAGAGGATCTGAATGGGTAAGAGCACCACGCAGCCCAGCGCCTTCAGATCCATTTCACTTCGTCTCAATTCTCGCCTGTAACAATTGCTGAACCAATTGAATCCTTGCTCGGAGCGATCACCTTTACTCCTATTTTATAGGAGTGGATAAGGCAATTCGCCTTATTTTGCAAAGTTGACGGAGACTAAATAGGGTGAAATGCATCTATCTACCACAATCCATCGCAGTTTACGTGCGCCTCGGCGGAATATCTGTCATTTTGCGCACCTTTATTCCACACAAACTCTTTATCCACGGAGCTCTTGCTGCGACAAGTGTGCGCTGCTGCTTTGCACCGGAGACGGAGTCCTGTCGCTATACTGACAGCGGCCAGAATCCAACTATGACGATACCTCGGGTCTGATCGGGGTTTTAAAGAGACCATTTATCGTGATTGACAGCTGGAGGACTGACAGAAGTACTGCTTTATCAAACGTTGGCGTGAGGGTTACTTTATGACGGCTAAGTCCCCTCCCCCAGAAGTGGTGCCACAGGCAATTTCGTTGCCTTTCAACCTGTGCTTATTGTAACTAGTGGTGGGGATTTTGATTCATTCCAGTGATTCGAATCTTTTGAATCGGTTCAATAAAATAAAAGACGCCGAAAAGAAAATGTCCTGTTATCCTTTATTAATAAATTTGCTTATGTATATCTGCCGTTTCCCACAAATGATATAGCAGTCTAATTGTATTTTCCTATATTTTGTCAGCATGACTTTAATAAAATAAATAAAAATGAGCGTATGAATAAATGATGAGTTTATGAATAACGGACTTACGTAATTTTAATTGTGTATGCTCAGTCAATTTGACACTCATATTATTCTGTCCCTTTTCTCCTCTTGTTGTGAATTGATGAACTGGACAAACGGGTTGTTCAGAAGGTCCGCAGCTTATTGTAAATAAACGAGATAATTCAGTCAAGTTAGTTCACGTTCAAGAGTGTCGTTTAGTACCTCTTGGAGTCCTTGGTCACTCAGACAAGAACCGAAAGTATATTAATATTACGTATTATACACGATTTAAAAAGGCATTTTATGACCTTATTGTCTGTTTTGCATAGCAAGCCTATTTTTGTTTTGTTCACTGCATAGTAAACAAGTGGGTGGGCTTGTTTACAATATGCTTCAGTATGTTATGTACAGTATACAATATAGGCAATGATACGGTATGTTATATACAGTATGTTATATTTGTTACATCAAAAGAAGAATGGTCCTACAAACTGGATCTAGGCATCATTTTTGCAAGGGTTCTCTGCAAAACAAACAACAACAACAAAATTGTATTACCTTCAGACAGAAGCTTTCTCAATATTTCTGTCATTAATTTTATTAATTATAATTAGTTGTTTTCCAGGTCAACTTTTCAGTGTGTTATGTATGTGTAAACAAGCATGTGGTTTGCTCTAAATGTTGTTACACTTGGGTCTCCTGTTGCTCTTTTCAGTCCACAGTGCTCAGACTCAGAAGGATTCCTGCAGACCAGTGCACTTCCAGAACATGGAGACCTTTGTAAACGCTTCTTAAACTCGTGCAGTAAACCCAGGAGCCGTTGTGGAGATTCCAGACTGTGATTTTTGGCCTAGCCCCTGCTTCTACTGCTTAAAAGCTGAATGGAGGGCTGCTCAGACCGGACTGGGTCAAAATGCAGCCTCACAAAGACTGCTTTGTGTTATGCTGCGCCTCTTAGTAATGGCCCAGCAACTCTCAGAGAAGGCTTAATGGTTGTCTGGTGGGGGGAAATAGCATGTTTCACTTAAATTTGGCCATTTCTCGATCTGTTGATCAAAAACAGGCCCAAAATTACAGATGCTGAGTTAATTTCCAATATTGCAGAATGCTGTGGAACCATTATTCTCTGTTTTTATATGATTGTTTGGTTTTATTTTAGCTTGCACATTTTAGTGTAGAAATATAACCGCATGATGAAGCTGAACAAAAAGACTTTCTCTTTTCTGTTAGAGTGTCACTGCCATCTACAGATCAACATTGAAATTTCACTAAATAAATCTGATGTATTCTCAGTGGTGGCCATAGCGCAAACATTGCCTGTCATGGAATATAGTTTTATCATGTGCATTTGCATAGTAAAACTTAAACTTAAAAAAGGATTAAAGGAACTGAGTTTACAGTTGATGAATATGCAGTGTTTTGTCTTCTCTAAAGCTGTGCCACCATCAATTATCTCTTATGTAAACATTCAGCCAGCATATTTTTATGTGCATTGTTGATATTACTAATTAGCTTCTGTGTTATCTGGTCAGTTAGAACATACCTAGTGGGCATTAGTCAGGGTTGGAAGACTTAATTTGCACTCTGGTCAGACTTTTCATTTACTTATTGTATAAATGTGTGCAGTGCAATATGCTTTTACAAGGGCTGTTACCCATAGTTACCTTGTTTCTGATGGCACTATTTTGTGAAATTTGAACTGTATTGCAATTGTAACACTTTTAGTCTATATCTGTAAATCTGTTTTACTTTGCAGAAAATTGGCTGTTGGTTGGTTAAAAAATACATTAAAATCTAATTTTCTGGTGGGGAAAATCAACTTGATCTAGTTTTGTGTGAAACTCATAGACTTGGCAACCCTGGCACCACTTGACCTTGTACCTGCACTATAAAAGGGAAGGGAGCATGTATTTTGAACACTTTTTGCTGTGCATGCAGCACGTTGAATCAGCCATGCATACTGGAATTGCAATTCTGCTCTTTGTATTTGCAGCTTTTTTTGCTGCTTTTTGTTTATTGGTAGTTGTCCCAGTGTACTTAGAGCTGAGAAATTTAAATATCCCTTCTGGAGTTGCTAGTCCGGGGAAACTACGCATGATTCATTGTGTGTATGTGGGGATAAGCATTGTGGTGAGTGTTCATGCATTTTGTGTTGTGTTCACTGGCAAATCCAATCATATTGATTGAATTCCTGTTAAATTCTCATTTCTACTTAAGACTAATAAAAGAGTAACGTTTAGCCCTATAGGTTTAATATTTCAAATGGTTTCCACATTATCCCCTGAAAATGAGAATATCCAGTGAAATTGTCAGAGGTGGACAGTAACGAAGTACATACTTGAGTATTGTACTTAAGTACACTTTTTGAGTATCTGTACTTTACTTGAGTATTATTTTTTTCTGGAAACTGCCGGAGCGGTGTTAAATGATTTTTTTTTTTTTGTCAACTCACTTGTTTCACTTCTATAGGTTTTTAACATTCTAAAAGCTCTTTATTCCGAAGATACTACAAGTTAGTCAGTGTATTCAGTAGGCGTAATGTATTGTAGCTTCAGAGGCATAAGGTATAGCAAGTATTACATACAACAATAATAGAACAATAATAAAACAGTCCGTTGACATAAAAAATTTATTTTACTTTTGGTACTTAAGTACTTTTAAAAGCAAGTACTTCTGTACTTTTATTTAAGTAAAAATCTTTACAACTTTCACTTGTAATGGAATAATATTTGATCAGCAGTATCTGTACTTTTACTCAAGTAATTGATTTGTGTACTTTGTCCACCTCTGGAAATTGTACTGTCATTCTGTTTTGGCACAACGATTTGTTTAATAATATAACCATGCTCAATACAAAGTCCACCTCAGCAATTTAATAACTCTTCAGTGATGTATAATTTATTAAAACTGAGTATAGCAAGTTCAATAGACTGTGTTTTTCTGTAGCCACTAACTTGATATTCTCTCAAGGGCATGATAAAGAGATATGAGCCGTTCTTCTTATCTCAGAATATGAGTACAGAATTCAAATAGCCGAGCGGACTTCTTTACCCACTGAGTGGCACATTTAATGGCACGGTGAGTATTATGAATTGGCCAATCATTGTTAACAAGTCTCTTTTGTATTGAAACCACCTTTAGGGACAAATTCTGGGGCAATTGGGGCTGTGCCATCAGATGAATTTTATACGATGGAGCAGATGCTGTATCATGGCCCGCAAAAAACCAGTGCCCTCCGGGCTTCGTATTAAGGACTTGAGCTTCAGTGGAGTTCCAGTGAGGGTGTATGAGCCTACAGCTGCCTCAAGAGAGAAAAAAAGGGGCCTGGTGTACTTTCATGGTGGTGGATGGATGTTTGGCTGCATTGGTAATATATACTCAAAGAAACAGTGCAATACTTTTGTGTTGGTAATTTAACATGTTTTCATTTTTTGTTCTTTCACAGATGATTACAATGAAGTGTGTCAGTATATATCACTGGAGAGTGACACCATAGTTGTGTCTGTTGGGTTAGCTGACTTTTGGCATACTCATTTTATGTGTAAATCAAGTTACATTTTGGCTGGTTGAATTTTTCATCTCGTTTTCCTTCTATGTTTGCCATGTTTAGTTACCGTCTGGCCCCCGAGCACAGGTACCCTGCCCACCTGGACGACTGTGAGGTCGTGACTCGCCATTTCCTGTCAATAGCGGCAACCGATTTCGGGGTGGACCCACGCAGGGTGGCAGTTGGTGGGGACAGCGCAGGGGCGAACCTGGCAGCCGCTCTCTGCCAGAGGCTGTCAAAGACACAGGATTGTCATCTGCCATCTCCCTGTGCCCAGGTTCTCATCTACCCGGCACTGCAGATGGCAGATTTCCACCTGCCCTCATACCAGCAGAACCACTCTGTGCCCATATTGTTCAGAGGCCGAGCGGTGTTCTATTTCCTACAGTACCTCAACGGGAATACTTCTGTGAGCCAGCAGATTCTGGAAGGCAAGCATGTTCCTGTCGAGCTAAAACGTCGCTATAAGAAATGGCTGGATCCAGATAATCTTCCACCTCAGTTTAGAAAAGGAGCAAGAAGTCCGCAGGTTATCCCAAGCCATGATGGTCATGTCTATCACATCATCAAACAGGGGCTGGATCCAGAGATCTCCCCTTTACTAGCTGAGGATGATGTTCTCCGCCTCGCACCGCCCACCTTTGTCTTGACCTGTGAGTTTGATGTGCTGAGGGATGATGGCATTTTGTTCTGTAAGCGACTGAAGGATGCAGGAGTGGAAGTCACGTGGGAGCATCTATCTGATGGCTTCCACGGGATCATCAGTTTCTTCAACCAGGGCTGGTTGACATTTCAATCTTCTCAAAAGGGTATGGACAGCATTGTAAGATATGTAAGGACTCTCTGACTGAGAAGTCAAAAGATTTGTCAGAATGACATAGAATATAGCCTGTAAAGAGTTTTTTTTTTTTTCTTTTTCTTTTTTTTTGTGAGAAATGGGAATGAACAAAAACATTTTCCCATTTGTTTTCTCCATAGAGAAATGTAAAAAAAGTAACAAACCTTTTAAGAAGAGTTACGAGGTTGTTAAAGCTAGGGTAGCTTTAAGCAATTTTTTACAGAAACATTTTCTGTTATACTGGTTGAAAGTATTTTCACAGCCTGATGGCAACCAATAATTAAAGTGCTCCAAAAAAATAAAAAATAAATAAATTTGAAGACTTGCCAAAATACACAGAGACAGGCAACCAGGTAAAACAAGAGCGATAATTTTACAAAATGGAGGAATTTGATAGAATGTTTGAATTTCAATTGATAAAATTAACAGAGTTTCTTCTCAACAGATAATCTAAACTTTAAGTTAAAAGTATTCCTAATATGTTGAACATTTTATTGAAATTAGCCTGCTTTTACCTGCCATTTTATAGATCCATAATCCATAATGTTTATGATGTTTGAGATGGGGAGGCGTTGAATGCGAAAGGGGCTTTTGCAAAGGTTGTTTGAAAACATGCTTTCTTTTTGCAGTTCCGGTATATGGCACTAGCAGCACAGAAACTGCCTACCCTAGCTTTAATCGATGGCATAAGCCCACATCATTTCAACTTGTGACCCAATACCTATAAAATACTAATCAACCAGAGAATGACAATTGTTTTAAATATTTCTGTGCTTAATATGCATATTATGCAATACATTTAAATAATATTATTTCTGTATATATAATCAATATCTTTAAATCAATAGTTTTATAGATTATAGTTAGATTCTATCATACACAATGCATCATGGGATTGTAGTTCTTTTTTTTGTACAGTTTTAAAATACTTCTCCTTAAAGAATCATTGTCATTTAGCAATATTCTGTGAATTATAGCAAGAAAGTCACATTAGATTTATCAAAAAAAAGTATTTGAATTGTTTTTGATTGATGTGTTAAACTGTGTTTGTAATGTACAAAGAAAGCTCAATTTATCCATTGAATCATGAATGGTATTCCAGTGTGTGACACTTAAAATTCCTCCCACATCCCACGTCCCTTGTACAGCCTCATTTGTAGGAGACTGCAGTCTTTCCTTTGGTGCTACAAGTGAAGCTAATTTTCATCATTCAGAGTGGTAGTCAGCATTTGCATGGTGCGTTTAAAGGAATCTGATGAACCTTCTTTTTCGCTGCAGCTGCTCTCACAGCGTAATAGTTGGGTTACGGAATAAAAAACTCCATTCGTTTTCTCCATAGAGAAATTGATTTTGAACAATAATTGACAAATCTTTAAAGACAGGCCTGCTCTGTGCTCCAATGTTGTTAATTGATTATTAATGCTTTTGTTAAACCAATCTGTTCGCATTAATTCGACTTATTTTTAAAATAATCAAGTTTTATAGTGGAATTTGTGGTTAAAAACTACATTACTCATTATGCTGTACAGAAAATCCTTCACGCCAGAAGGATCTTTAGCTCTGCCCACTCCCATGAAACGCCACCAATGTTGTAATGGATTCAATCTCCCTACGCTCTCAAAAATATTTTTGTATATATGAATATTTTGGCAATTAACTAAAAATATATAGTTTATATAGAAACAACCAACAGCTTTAAATTAATATTTTTATATATGTAGGTACTACATTTGAGTTTGAACTTCACAACCGTTAAAAAGTATGTTTTATATAGTATGAATGTGGGTACTAGTATGAATGAAATTCGGACATACTACATTCGCAATTTAGTTACTGTCACATGACCTACCAGTGTAAGTTGCGTTGCTTCACTGGCATTCATAAGTCCTCTCCCATGGCCTCATGGGATAGTAAAGTGTCAATCCAATGCACACTTCATCCGAAATCGCCCCCTATACCCGTATCCACTATTCCCAACATTAGTCCACTAATACAGTTCACTTGAAGGAGGGAATGAAAACGAGTAAGTGAATTCAGACACTGAGTGCACTGGAAGGGCTGCCGCATTTGTGCTTGCTGTTTAATAACCATTTGAATCTGGTAGCTCCAGTAGTAAGATGAAAGGATTTATCTTGAACTCTGTTATGGAAATTATGTATCCACCTTTTGCTGCATTCACGCCATGTCGTATTTACTGCGATTTCGAGATGACAACACGTTACGTTCTACTTGGAGCTGTTCACACCCTCGGACTCGGAACTATCGCACTATCAATGCCTAAACAGCGCCTAATGAATCTGAGGTGGTCAGGTGGTACAAGTTGTAGCTTTCAGAAAACTCCCAGTTCACAAGTTGTAATTACGAGTTCTACGAGGACGTGAATGCTTTTTACACATTGGTATCTCGTAACCACGGTAATTACGATATGGTGTGAAAGCACCTTTATTTTTCTACGCATAAGTAAGCAGTTTTCTGTGAAAGTGCGAGACTCCTGGTTCATTAGCCGCTAGGAAAATAGCGAGAAGAATAACAAAGTGTTGAAAGTAACAAACCAGTGTGTTCATAGTTAAGAATACATTACAAAAATATCGTAAGACACACCAATTTGCAATATCAAGCGGCAAAACGAGCTGTTTTGTACAGTTAAAATAAAGCGGATGACACCGGAAGCCAGACACATAAAATTTACAAATGGCTCTGCCCGCTCGCACGGGAAAAATAAGGTGGATAAACCTCAATTAAACAATTTAATAATCAATTTAAAAGTAATTTATACCTTTGGCATACATCATAGTTCTTTTGCATACACCAGTTGTACACTCGTTATTGCGGTGCATTGTGGGATTGAATGAATGCATTCGATAATGTCCAAGGTTTCGGACACCAATATAAATGGCTGTCCTCTCAAATAGTGCCCTACTTAAGAGTATAGGGGACGATTTCGTACACAGGGCCAGTGTAAGTAATAGGTCATCCGGCTACTTTCCGACTATTTATTTATTTATTTCCCAAATACTATGAATTCAGACACTACTCATTTGGCGTACTGTTTTCACATGCTATATAGTAGGGAAGTATTCGAATTTGGATGCAGCTATAGTTCATGCTTATGACTCTGTAGCAAAAAATCCCTATGGGAGAAATACTTCCGGAACAAGCACCGATGAAAACGTGGGCGGGCACTAATGCAATCTACAGCGCCAGCAGGTGTATTTTCAACAGAACTCTCCTGCTTTAATGATGTAATTCTGGGAGCCTGTCACAACCGAGTATAGCAACGCTGGATGTTTGCAGACTGTAAAGTTGCAGAGTTGCGTTTGGAGTAACTATACAGCAGGCAAAAAATAATAATAATAAAATGAAAAAAAAAAAATCAATAAAATAAAAAACTTGCGTAGAGTCAGCCTGGTTGGAGAATAAAGGCGAAATGTACTCACTGGCAGGCCCGCGTGGAATGTTTAAAATAAAACTGACTGCGGATGAGTTAGGGCAGTGGTTCCCAAACTTTTTCGGCCGGGCCCCCCTTTTGTACAGAAAAATATTTTAATTTTTTTAAAAGTCTCTTATGCTCACCAAGGCTGCATTCATTTATTAAAAATACAGTAAACACTGACTACGTTTACATGGACATCAGTAATCTAATTTGTGACTGGCCTGGACTTTATTTTGTGTTTTGGTTCTGTTTGTGCGCGACAGTCGTCCGTGAGGGGCTGTCACGCTATTTTGTGTTTATTTTATCATTAAAGTTTTCTTTGAATGTTCGCCGGTTCCCGCCTCCTTCTTCCCGCGACTATGACCTGTGTTACATAATTATTTACCTTATTCTAAATAAGCCAATATTATGATTAAG